TTTCCAGGTAGAGGCTGTGGCAGAGGCTATTAATCATATGTTAACAGGCCCTGCAGGACAGCGTAATTTTTGTTTTTTTTTCTTTTTCAGAGACAGGGTCTTTCTCTGTCTCCCAGGCTGGAGTGCAGTAGTGCAGACATAGTTCACAATAGCCTTACACTCCTGGTTTCAAGTGATCCTTCCGCCTCAGCTTCGCAAGCAGCTGGAACTGCAGGCGTTGACCGGCTGTCTTTTTGTACCGAAGGGGGTCTTGCTATGTTGACCAGCTGGTCTCAAACTCATGGCCTCAAGTGATCCTCCAGCCTTAGCTTCCCAAAACTCTGGGATTACTGGAATCAGCCACCAAGTATGGCCATAGAACATTAAGGTGTCACTGGCCCCAGAGTAGAATTTCCAGGCTGCAGAAGTGAACCTCAGCCACCTGGCTTCACCTTGCCTCACCCTCTAGATCCTTCCTCCAACCTGTCCTCCAAGCTAGAGAAGTTAGCCTCAATGGTAAGAGCACCCAACTGGAAGTCACAAGGCCTGTGCTCAAGTGCTGACCTAGCACCCCCTTACTGCGTGACATGGGACAAGCCTCTGTGCCTCTGTGGCCTTTGCTGTTGTTGTCTTGCTCAGAGCCTACATGAACCTGAGCCTGCATCTCCCTGCCTGTCTGCACTGGGGCTGCAACAGTGGGCAATCCAGGAAGTTATCGAGTACCAGGGCCTCACTGGGGTGGAAGCAGCGCTTCTGCTTTGTGGGTCTGGGATCTCCCCACTTCTGACTCAGCCTTCCTCCATCAGTTTCACATGGGAAGGCACAGACCCTGGCACTATCCTGCAGCCCAACCCATAACTCTGAACTCATCTCTGGATTCTAATTACTTGTGCATGTTGCCTGTCCAGAGAGCTATGGTTCCAGACACCACCAGAGGGTCTAAGGAAAGAGCCAGACAAGGGACTCCAGGATGCAATGGGAAGGGGGACAGAAGATGCAGACATTCAGACCACCACTCCTGCCTTTAAGACATCTGCTGTCTCCACCCTGTCTCCTGCTGTCTCCTGAAAAGCCACCAAGGTGGGAGGGAGGGGGGCAGCATCTGAGTCATCCACCCAGCTGTCTTGCCTGGGGTGGGGCCCAGCTGCAAGCCTGGACCCCAGACAGGCTTTCCTGGTGCTTTCAACCTTGTCTGTCTGCCTGCACTTGGGTATCCAAATCCCTTGGGCTCCAGACTAAAAAGACACAGAGGATGCAGGGTGGGGTGTGGGAGAGAGAGAGACCAGGTATGGTAGCTCGTGCCTGTAATCCCAGCACTTTGGGAGGATAAGGCAGCTGGATTGCTTGAGCCCAGGAGTTTGAGACCAGCCTGGACAACATGGTGAAACCCCATCTCTACAAAAAAAATATAAAAGTTAGCTGGGCGTAGTAGCACACACCTTTAATCCTAGCTACTCAGGAGCCTGGGGTCGGAGAATCACCTGAGCCTGGGAGGTTGAGGTTACAGTGAGTTGTGATCACACCACTGCATTCCACCCTGGGCAGCAGAACAAGACCCTGTCTCAAAAAAAGAAGAGAGAGAGTATTGGGGAAAGGGGTTTCTTCTTGGACCCTATAATCCAGCCCAACAGAGGGAGCTCCAAACTCCTGAGTGTGGTTGAAGTACCCAGGCTGGGTCAAAAACTGCTAGAGTCTTACAGACAACTCTCCATCCCAACTCCAAATCTGGCCTTGAACTCTGAGCTCTAATTAAACATTAAACCAGACAACATCTCCTCTCTAGGCTTTGGTGGGAGGGGTTGGGAAAATACCTTTTTTCCTCTCCCAAATTCTTTTTCTTTTTTCTTTTTAAAGACAGGGTTTCACCATGTTGGCTAGGCTGGTCTTGAACTCCTGACCTCAAGTGATCTGCCCGCCTCAGCCTCCCAAAGTGCTGAGATTACAGGCGTGAGCCACCGCACCTGGCCTCCTCTCCGGAATTCTTTACCCATTTCTCTACCTCACCCTGAGCACAGCAGACCCAATAGGAAGTGACCAATCCTGGCTCCTCCTACGGTGGACAGAGAAGAGGACAGACACCCCAGTCTGAGTCCCCTTTGTCTTCACCCCACTTTCCATCGGCATGGGATCCAGGTGTACAAATCCACCTCTCCTTTCCGGAAGCCCAGCCTTCCCAGCCAGGATCAGTGGGGGAGAACAGAGACAGGTGGCTAAATATAACAAGTACACACACCACCCCCGCCCTGCCCTACGTGTGCACATACCGGCCTGGTGTCCCAGGCCTGGACAGCTGCACTAGGAGGCAGAGGAGACAAACTGGCATGGCTGGGTAAGCAAGAGACTATAGAATCCACTCAACCTGTTTCCCGATCAAAGTTTTCACCACAAAACTGCTAACAATGTCCTTCACAGGGCTTCGGTAGTTGAGTGGACTAGTTTAGAATGCAACGAGTTCTCTGGGGCACCCCCTTCCTTGTTTCTTATCTGTCTTGCTAACTAAATTGTTCATATCACTAATAGAAAAAAGACAGGTCTGGGGCCAGGCCTGGTGGCTCATGCCTGTAGTCTCAGTGCTTTGGGAGGCTGAGGCAGGAGGATTGCTTGAGGCTAGAACTTCGTGGCCAGCTGAGCAACATAGCAAGTTTCCATCTTTACAAACAAAATGAAGAAAAAAAAAAATTAGCTGAGCATGGTGGTGCCTGCCCTTAGTCTCAGCTACTGGGGAAGCTGAGCCAGGAGGATCACTTGAGCCTAGGAGGAGTTCTAGGCTGCAGCAAGTTACAACTGCACCATTGCGCTCTTGCCTGAGCAACAGGGCTCTGAAAAATACAATAAAAATAAAGAAAAGGGCTGGACATAGTGGCTCATGCCTGTAATTCGAGCACTTTGGAGACCAAGGCGGGCGGATCACCTGAGGTCGGGAGTTCAAGACCACCTTGACCAACATGGTGAAACCCCGTCTTAAAAAAAAAAAAAAAGAAAGAAAGAAAAGGACAGGTGTGGTCTCTTTCAGCAGAAATACAGTTTGAGGCTGGGCACAGTGGCTCAAGCCCTGTAATCCCAGCACTTTGGGAGGCTGAGGCAGGAGAATTGCTTGAACCCAGGAATTCAAGACCAGCATGGGCAACATGGCAAAACCCCATCTCTACAAAAGAATACAAAAACATTAGCTGTGGGTAGTGGTGCCTGCCCAGCTACTCAGGAGGCTGAGGTGGAAGGATGGCTTGAGCCAGGAAGGTGGAGGCTGCAGTGAGACATGCCCTTGCCGCTGCACTCCAGCCTGGGTAACAGAGTGAGACCCTGTCTAAAGAAAAAAAGAAGCCAGGCATAGTGACTCATGCTTGTAATCCTAGCACTTTGGGAGGCTGAGGTGGGCAGATCGCTTGAGGTCGGGAGTTCGAGACCCACCTGGCCAACATGGTGAAACCCCATCTCCACTAAAAATACAAAAATTAGCTGGGTGTGCTGGCAGGTGCCTCTAATCCCAGCTACTTGGGAGGCTGAGGTAGGATGTAGGAGCATTGCTTGAACTCAGGAGGTAGGGGTTGTAGGGAGCCAAGATCACACCACTATACTCCAGCCTGGGAAACAGAGCGAGACTCCATCTCAAAAAAAAAAAAAAAAAAAAAAAAAAAAAATCCAAAAAAACAAAATAAAAGTTGAGCCTGTCTTCCTACACACAACTTCATGGATTCTTCAGAAAGAAGGGCAATGGATCTGCCACACCCACCACAACTAGCAAAGGGTAGAACGACCACAGAATGCATAGAGGGGTTCTGAGAAGAGCCGAAGTCTGGAGTAGATGGTATCAAGGGAGAGAAGAAGAGTCAGAGCCAACAGCGCTTTATGGATCTCCAAGCACCCTTGGTGCTCTTGGCCTGGGTCTGAATAGAGAAAGGGAGAGCGAGGAGAAGGGAACCAAATTTTGTGGGGGGCTGGCAGAGGAGGGCCTATACTTCCAAGCTCCCAAAGGCTTTTTTAGAAAAGAAGGTGGAGTTGAGTAGGGTGGGGTAGGGTGGGGCAGGAGTGGGTGAAGTGGGAGTGGCCTGAAGCTTCCAACGGCTGGATTTCAAAAATGTCATTGTATTCCAGCACTTTAATAAGGCAAAGATCAAAACGTCAGCAGCTGAGAGGATGGGCCACAGCAAAGACTGCTTGGCCTGGCTGGGAAAATGAGAGTGGCAAGGAGGAAAGGACAGTGCCCCTAACCCTCGAAGACACTGGGCAGAGGGCCAAGGGAGGAGTGCTGCCAGACCTGGGCATAACACAACTTCCTGAGCTGGGAGCCTCTGCCCTCTGTCTCCCTCCCTCCCTTGCATTCCTGGGCCAAGCAGGCCAAGGGCTGTGGGAGCTGCGGGGGAGCCAATCTCCCATCTCCCAGAGCTGTTTTGGTGGGCCTGTCAGAGCCCAGGGAAGGTCCCAGACACGCAGAGTGAGGGAGAGCTTCCCAACCCTTAGAACTCAGGGCAAGGTCATGCCGAGGGAGGCCACCGCCAAGCCCATGGAGGGGAAAAGGGGGACTGCCCTGCTTTCCTGACCTCTCTCCAACACGCTGGACAGATGCCAGCTTGGGAGTTATGTCTTAGTGGGCATCATGTGTTCAGAGGCAGCTTGGGTAAAGCTGGCACAGTGCCAGGCCCACCAACAAAGTTCTAACAGGACCCTTTCTGCCACTCCAATGTGTCCGGCGTGCCCAAAGCTCTTGGATCTGACAGGGATAGTTTTGTTTTGCTCAAGCCCCTCCCCTAGGCTCCGAAGAGCTGGCTGATCCCACTGTGAATTCCTTATATCCCTCCGCCCTCTTCCAGAGACCTCTCCCCTCTCTGTCCTGTCTTGACAATTCCCTTAGACACTGGCCGTCACCCGTTGGGGGCAGTTCCGGGGAGGGAGGAGACTCTCTGGCCAAGTTATCGGCCTCCAGGCCCTCTCACTCCCTTCCTGCAGCCGGCCAGGGGAGCCGGCCCGCCGCCCTTTCCACTCCCCACCCCGCCCCGGGCACGCAGCCACCTGGGCGAACTCACCGTGCTTTCAGCTCCTTAAACTCCTCACGCACTTTGCTCAGCTCCAGCTGCAGCCGGGCGCGCTCCTTGGCCACTGAGTCGAGGGTCTTGCGGGCATCTCCGAGCTCGGCCTCGTAGGCGGCCTTGATGCCGGACACCTCGCGGCTGACCACCTCTTCAGACTCGGTGATGCGAAGGCGCAGCCCTGCGTTCTCCGTCTCCAGCGAGCGCACACGGTCGATGTAGACCGCCAAGCGATCATTGAGCTCCTGCAGGTCCTCCTTCTCCTGCAGCCGGGTGATGCGGGTGGGCGACAGCGGAGTGGAGCTGGCCTGCGCCCCGCTGCGGGTGGCGCGCCGCTGGGACGGGGTCTCCATGGCCGGCAGGGTGGCAGCGCTGCCCGCTGGGCAGGGGTCCCGGGAAGGGCGCGGGGCTAGGGCGGAAGGACAGAGACTGCTCGGGGTCGGAGTGCGCCGGCCGGCTGGCTGGCTGGCTGGCTGGCTGGCTCTCGGCTTGCTCCTGGCAGGCGCGGGGACGGGGCCGGGCGCTGTCGGACCTCGGGATCCGGGTTGGCTGGGGTAGGTGCGGCGCTCCCGCGAACACTGAGTCACCGGCGCCGGGGCAAAGGCTCTAATAGGTCCTCCTCTGAAGGGAGGATGGGCCTGCTCTTAAAGGGGCAGTCCCAGATCCACGGGGGTGGGGGCGCGGGTGTGCTGAGGAGGGGCAAGGACCGCAGGGCTGTGGCGAAGCCGGGCCCCACCCTCTCCAGCGCTCTCCTAACTGCGTGAGGCTTAAGCTTCCCCTGTCTCGGCTTCTGCCTGCTCAGCACCTCGGGCTCCAAGCTTGCCCCCACTGCCTCAGACCTTCTGGCTAGAGGGCAGAGCCAGGGAGGGAGAGTGGGTGGGCAAAGGGTGGGGGAGAAAGAGAGGGAACTGGGTGCAAAGCAAGGGAGAGGGTCAGGCAGGGCTGGGAGCCAGGAAAGTGGGGGGAGGGTTGAGGCTGGTGCCCATCAATGTGACTCACCCTTGTTCCACCACTGGCTCCCCCTGCCCTCCCAGTAGTAATAGTGAGTCACCCCTTTCCCCCTCCACACGTGGGCAGGCCATTCAGTGCTGCATCTCATTGTGCCAGGAGTGGGGTGGAGAAGGAATGCCTGGGGACCCTGCGGGGAGCAAAGTTCTGGAACCTGAGTTCCTTTAAGCCCCCAATTTGGGGGCAGGGATCAAGGAGCTTGGGGTCCCTTTTTTCCTATCTTTTGCCCCAGTCTATCCCCCTTCAAAACCAAGCATTTGTTTTTAGACCCAAGCAACAAGCCGCAGTCCTCTAAGAATAGGAGTCAGGCACTGCCCCCTCCCATCTCCTGTCCCCTTCCTGGACCCAAGCAGCTGGAAAAGGAGCCTGCCTGGGTTCCTTCCTCCTTCAGTCCCTTTCTACTGCTTACCCCACCCAGTCAACTATTTTTTTCCCCCAGAACTGTACTTATTTTAATGGATAATTTAAAACAGATACCAGAGCTGTTCATGTATTCATTATGTTGCCAGGACATCAGGTCCCAGATTTCTGTGGTTCCCAGAGGGGCCTGAAAGGGGGAGCAGGGCTAGGGGCTGGACAGTCAATGTTGGGTCTCTATCCTGGTTTCAGCAGAAAGAAGGTAGTAGGGGGGAAGAAGGTAGTGGGGGCAGGAACAGCAAAGACCCCACAGCCTTGCTTGCTGCAAAGGCCAGCACCACACTCATCTCTAGTTTCCTCTCTGGCCAGGTGCATTTTGCAGCTGGCTCTGGGGAGGGGCTGGGCTCTCTCACAAAACGGGATCACCCAGGTCCCCAGCCTTCTCTACCTCAGGCTCTGGAGCCTCCATCCTCAGGCCTCACTAAGGACCCCTCTGATCAGCCTTCCACTAACCCAGCCTCATCCTGGTCCCACCAGCCACCTCATCCTTTTTTTTTTTTTTTGAGATGAAGTCTTGCTCTGTCACCCAGGCTAGAGTGCAATGGCGAGATCTCGGCTCGCTGCAAACCCCATCTCTCAGGTTCAAGTGATTCTCCTGCCTCATCCTCCTGAGTAGCTGGGATTACAGGCACCCACCACCACAACCAGCTAATTTTTTTTTTTTTTTTTTTTTTTTTTTGTATTTTTAGTAGAAACGGGGTTTCATCGTGTTGGCCAGGCTGGTCTCAAACTCCTGACCTTAGGTGATCTGCCTGCCTTGGCTGCCAAAGTTCTGGAATTACAGGTGTGAGCCACCGCACCTGGTCCACCTCTCTAAGAGGTGACAGAGCTGAGGTCTGGGCCCCATCCACCTGCATGCCCTGCCCACTGCCTCCCACAGCTTATCCTCCAATGAGTAACCAGGGAAATCAAATTATGTTGCTACCTCGTACAGTTCCAGGATATCAGGGCTTCTTTCAAACACAAGGAAAGCAGGGCTGGACGGGCCCTCAGTTCTGGGTTCTGAAGCCTGGCCTTGGGGTGGATGAGGGACTGGCATGGGATTAAGGCAGGAACTTTGGTTATTAGAGGGGGAGAACAAGGAAGGTTCTCATCTCAGTGAGGGTGCCTGGGCAGTGTGGTGAGCACTAGGGAGGCACCGGGCGGGGCGGGGGCAGAATATGGCTTCTCTCCCCCAGGGAGTGGCACCCACCCTCAGCTTTGCAGACAATAAAGTCTTATGCTTCTCCAAACCAGAAGCAGAGGCAGGAGGGGGAAGCCAGTGAAACGTGTTCCCGCTGCCTCAGCCCCTCCCTGGCACTCAGACCCCCCTTCTCCCCAATGGCCTGGCTTCCCCTCCAGGCCGGGAAAGCAAAACCACACTTAACCCTTCCTGTCCTAGACCTCCCAGTCTCTTTTTTTGAGGCTCTTGCTCAGTCGCCCAGGCTGGAGTGCAGTGGCACTCATAGCTCACTGCAACCTTGAATTCCTGGTCAAGTGATTCCTCTATCTCAGCCTCCTGAGTAGCTGAGAATATAGGCTATCATGATAGAGATGGGGTCTTGCTGTGTGCCCGATGTGGTCTATAACTCCTGGCCTCCAGTGATCCTCAACTCAGCCTCCCAAAGCGCTGGGATTACAGGTCTAAGCCACCATATCTGGCCAGACCTCCCCATCTTGTGGAAAAGGTGCAGGAGAAAGAAGGAAGGCTTTCACCCCAAATTTCACTCCATGCTCTTTCCAAAGATTCCCTGCCACCACCATCAAAATGGCCTCAATCCTAAATCTGAACTTCAAAGTGGACCTTTATCATGAATATTCAATCCTAACTCCGGACCCCAGATGTCATAAGTCTGCTCTCCCTATGCCAGGGCAAAAATCGCCAACCCAGAAGCAGCAGGCAGGTCCAGAGGAGCTGAGTCTGCTGGAGGTGAGAGGTGATGGAGTGGTGACTTAGGGGGTGACCAGGTTTTAATCCTACCTCTTTTTTTTTTTGAGACAGAGTTTCACTCTTTTTACCCAGGCTGGAGTGCAATGGCGCGATCTCGGCTCACCGCAACCTCCGCCTCCTGGGTTCAGGCAATTCTCCTGCCTCAGCCTCCTGAGTAGCTGGGATTACAGGCACGTGCCACCACGCCCAGCTAATTTTTTGTATTTTTAGTAGAGATGGGGTTTCACCATGCTGACCAGGATGGTCTCGATCTCTTGACCTCGTGATCCACCCGCCTCGGCCTCCCAAAGTGCTGGGATTACAGGCTTGAGCCACCGCGCCCGGCTTAATCCTACCTCATAATTGCTGGGTGATGCTAGATCTAATACTGGATTCTCTGGACCTCAGTTTTCTTACCTGTAACATGGGCAGAGTGGCTACCAAAGAGAGGGACTGAGCTCCTGGGTGTGCAGGAGTTCTGCACACTCTGCCACAGGGTAATACTATGCTTGCTCTCAAGGGAGCCTCCCACTAGTGGGGAAGACAGACAGAGGGAGAAGAAAAACCAACAAGCACAAATGATTAAAGAGCAACAGAGGACTCTGAATTAGATGAATTCCAAAGGATCTCAGAAGTCTGGGAGCTGGAGCATTCACGAGTGAAATCAGAATATAGTGGTTGGGTCCAAGGGATGGTTTGGACACTATCTTTTCTTTTTTTCTTTTTCTTTTTTTTTTTTTTGAGAAGGAGTTTTGATCTTGTCGCCCAGGCTGGAGGGCAATGGCTCACTGCAACCTTCATCTCCCAGGTTCAAGCGATTCTCCTGCCTCAGCTATTCGGGAAGCTGGGATTACAGGCGAGCATCACCACGTCCAAGCGAATTTTGACATTTTTATTAGAAACGGGGTTTCACTATGTTGGCCAGGCTGGTCTTGAACTCCTGGCCTCAAGTGACCCGTCCGCCTTGGCTTCCCAAAGTGCTGGGATTATAGTCGTGAATCACCTCACCCAGCCTGGGCAATTTATCTTGAAGACCAATGACCTTGGTGGGAGTCGGGGAGGGGGGGCTCCTCTGTTTCTTATAGCATCCTGATCTTCCCTCTGTGACCCCCATTCCTAAAAGTGCTGTGAGGGACAGAAAGGACCAAGTCTTGGTCATCTGTCTTCCTAACACCTGGACCAATGCCTGGCACACAGGAGGTATTCGGTGTCTTTTTTTTTTTTTTTTTTTTTTGAGACTTGCTCTGTTACCCAGGCTGGGGTGCAGTGGTGCAATCTCAGCTCACTGCAACCTCTGCCTTGCCTCCCAAGTTCAAGCGATTTTCCTGCCTCAGCCTCCTGGGTTGCTGGGATTACAGGCGCCTGCCACCACGGCTGGCTAATTTTTATGTTTTTAGTGGAGATGGGGTTTCGCCATGTTGGCCAGGCAGGTCTCAAACTCCTGACCTCAGGTGATCCACCTGCCTTGGCCTCTCCAAGTGCTGGGATTACAGGCATGAGCCACCACGCTCAACTTCTTTATTTTTTTTGAGATGGGATCTCACCATGTTGCCCAGGTTGGTCTTAAACTCCTGGGGTCAGGTGATCCTCCCATCTCAGCCTTCTGAAGTGCTGGGATCACAGATGTAAGCCACCACGCCCAGTCCTCTCAATGTTTCTTGGATAAACAAAAGCATCCAGGCCCTGTCACTTTTCAGGTCAGTGACCCTGGACAAGTTATTGCATTTATTTCTGCTTTAGTTTCATCATCTATAAAATGGGAATGTGCAGTAATTAAATAAGGTAACATACATTTGACGGAGGGCTTCTTGGAGAAGGTCGATTTAGGGGCTTTACAGAATTGCCTTATACATAGAGAATTCACTCATTCAACAAATATCTACTGAACATCTGCTATGTACCAGGACCTATTCTAGACACCAGGGATACAGCAGTGAATAAAACAGACAAAAATCCCTACCCTATGGAGCTGACATTCTAGTCGAGAAACATAGTCAACAAACCAAAGACAAATTTATAGTTTGTTAGAACATGGTAGGAGCTATGGAAATAAAAATATAAAGCAGAGGCTGAGCATGATGGCTCACACCCTTAATCCCAATGCTTTGGGAGGCCAAGACAAGCAGATTGCCTGAGTGCAGGAGTTCAAGACCAGCCTGGGCAACACAGCGAAACCCCAAATCTTAAAAAAAAAAAAAAAAATTAGGTGGGTGTAATCCCAGCTACCTGGGAGGCTAAGATGGGAAGATCACCTGAGCTGGGGAGGTTGAGGCTGCAGCAAGCTGTGATTGTACCACTGCACTCCGGTCTGAGCAAGAGTGAGACCCTGTATCCAAAAAAAAAAAAAAAAGTTAAATCTATGTGTATATATTATATATACATATACACACACATGCATTTAGCAAAATAGTGCTCACACAGTGAATAACTTACATTTTAACAATGTTTATAGTTGTTACATGTTTTCATAAATTCTCAACTGGGTCCACAGAACAACCTCATGGGCTGGAAATTATTCCCCTGCTTTGCAGGTGAGGTGGACTTTCCTAAAACGAGGCTGTAGGTAACAGACCCAGGGCAGAACTGGGACCAGGTGGTCTGGTCCAAATCCTGGACATGCTTCTCTGTCTTCTGCCACTTTGGCTGGAGGAAGTGTGTGCAGAGGTGCTGAAGTGGGAAAGAGCTGAGTGTGCTCTGACCTG